GCCCTTGCAAAACAAGCTTAAACAGGTAAATCGTCATCATCGTGTTCGTCGAGAAATTCGTCATTAGCTGCAGCAGCGAGCCAGTTAGCCAGGCACCGAGGCGGACCAAGCTTCTCAGGATATTGATCATGAAATTCCTGCAACTTGAGCGGGGCGTTACGGAAATTGGAGGCAGGATATCAGGCAGGGTCGGGGGGATACCCTTCCCACTGCACGCGGTAGCGCAGCTCTTTATTATACATGCGAGAAGCAAGAATTTTGTCTACGAGCCATTCAGACTCGCCTTGTATCTCAACCGGGGGCTCTGGATCGCGAATTTGACCGGGCATAGGCGCCAAATCGGTCACTTTTCGGAGCTTCTCTGGTGCGAAACCGGGGTAGACTTGGAGTGTATAAGGCAGGCGAAACTTAAAGGCATATTAAATCTGTTCAATAATCTCGTACGGGCCAGCCCATTGGTCGCCGAACTTGCGGCTCAGACGGCCTAATTTCCAGTCTTTAGTAGTTACGTAAACCAAGTCCTCAGCCTTAAAATCCACGGGCCTGCGATACTTATCGGCTTGCCGCTTTATCTTTACCTGAGCTAATTCAATTTGACCCTTAGCGTAGTCCCAGATCTGTTCTAAATTGCGAGCAGTCTGGCGAGCTTCAGCTTGATCCTGGGATCTATCCCGAGGCTTCGAGGGCGAGACTCAGTCAAAGGAGACCTGGGGTTCGTAACCACACTTAACCTGAAAGGGAGATAACCCGGTTGACTTATGCTCGAGGACGGTGTAGGCGAAATCTACAGCCGGCAGCAGCTCTGACCAGTTATCTTGATAGTAATTTACAAAAGGACAGAATTTCTGGGCGAGATTTTGATTAACGATCTCCGTATGGCTATTCGTGAAGGGTTTCTGCCCCGAGGTTAGTTTGCGCTTGATCCTCAGCCGCAGGCAGAGCTCTTCCCAGAAAGCAGAGACGAACTAGCCTCTACGGCCCGAAAGGATTGACTCTAGCAGTCCTACCCATCGATATATATGTTCGAGAAAGAGCTAAGTCATATCCATTGCCGACATATTCTTATGACAAGGGATCGAGATCACCCGCTTCGTCAGACGATCTACAATCACACAGGCTTTATCAAAGCCGTGCTTGTCCTTCGGGCAGGAGCGAAAGTCCATAGAGATATACTCCCAGGGGCGATTCGGGATATCGAGGGGTTGAAGCAGCCCTGGGGGCAGATCCCTTCTAGTGGTAGTTCGATTACATATCAAGCAATTGGCCACGTATCGTTTCACATCGTGGCGCCGGCCTAGCCACCAGTATCAGTTCTTAACCAGAGTCTCTGTCTTGGGTCGTCCTGGGTGCGCGGTAGAGGGCTATCGGTAGATTATATCCAGTAATCGGGTACGAAGGTCTTTCTCTTCAGGAACCACGAGCTTATTCTGGAACAGAAGAAGTCTATCCTGCAGGGACTACTCTGATCCTTCTTCAGTGTCGGCGGCGGCAGCAGCCCTTTCTTCGTTAAAGTCAGTCGCAGTGCGATTAGCCTACAGTAAACGGTCCATCAACTGGACGTCATTCAGCTCTATAGGAGCGAGAAGTACTGATATAGCAGATAGCTCCTGTTCAGTGGCCTGCGGAGGCAGAACACCCTCTTCCAACCACTCTAGTCTCAACAGAGCCTGGTTCTTTGTGTCTAGGTCCAGAGGACTCTCTTCAGGTCTCGATAAGGCCTCAGCAGCTGTATTTTTTAACCCGGGTCTGAATTTGATCACGAAGTGAAACCTTGAAAGAAACTCTAATTACCGGGCTTGGCGCCCGTTCAACTTCTTCGTAGTCATAAAGTATTCAAGGGCCCTATAATCAGTCCAGATCTCTATTCGTTCAGTAGTCTGAAGTCCTTCAAGCTCTGTTCTCCAGAGCCCTAGAGTTCGCACTATGGCTAGGAGCTCCTTATCATGGATGTCGTAGTTGCGCTCAGCACCGAGCATATTTCTAGAGAAATAGGTAACCGGGTGCTACCTGCTCTCGAATAACTGAGAGAATATTCTTGCAATCACTCCGTCAGAGGCATCCGTTTCGATCCTAGACGGGAGGGTTAGGTCGTGATGCCGCAGGAGAAGTACTAAAGTCAGGTACTTCTTCAGCTATTTAAAGGCCTTCTGGCAGCCGCGGGTCCATTCAAAGGATGCTAGCTTCTTCGTTAAGACATACAGTGGTCTAACAATCCTGCTGTAGGCCTCTATAAAGCGTCGATAGAGGTTGCAGAACCCGAGAAACGACTGGACTTCCCTAACTGTGGTGGGAACCTGCCAGTTAGTGATCACTGCGACCTTCTCAGGGTCAACCTCAATGCCATCCGGGGTCAGAATAAAGCCCAAGAACTTAGTCCTCTTTACGCCAAATTCGCACTTATGAATAGCGGCCTGGAGGCCTGCAGCACGAAGCCGTTTCAGTACTCCTTAGACGTGAGCCTCGTGTTCAAGCTCATTCTCACTAAAGATTAGGATATCGTCTACATATACAGCCACGTACTTGTCGATCAGATCAATAAAGATGTTATTTATCAGCTGTTAGAACGCTGCGAGCCCATTGGTCAAGCCGAAAGGTAGGACTTGGTATTTGTAAGACCCGTACTTGGTGCGGAACGTGGTCAGATCCACTGAATCGGGGTACATTCGTATGCGGTAGAAGCCCTGCCTGATGTCAAGCTTGGTAAAGATCTTCGCGTGGCCTAGCCGGCCCAGTAACTCGTCCATCAGGGGCAGGGGGTAGCGGTTCTTCTTAGTAATCGAGTTCAATTTCGGTAGTCTACGCAGAACTGCAGGCCTCCTCCTGGCTTCGCAGCCATTAGCACGGGAGAGCCGAACGGGGCAGCACTAGAAACGATAAAGCCCTTCTGTAAGTTCTTTACTAGATAGGCCTTGATCGCCTCTAGCTCTTTTGCAGAGTACCGATATAGGGGACTATATTCCAGCGTATTTTTATCAGTAAGCTCAATCTGGTAATCGTTTTCCCTCCTTGGGGCAGCGTGTCTGACGCTGACTTCAAGAACACATCCACAAAGCCGTGGTAGGACTCGGGGATCTGTTCTTTCAACTTAACCTCTAGCAGGCGTTCGGGGTAGTTCTTCTCGTTGATAATCTTGTCTATCTGCGCTAGCGAGGTAATGAAGCAATCTAATTTACCGAGATGAAGCTGGTAAACCGAACCGCTGATAGCAAAGATATCGACCTCTGGCAGGCCCTTTTTAGCAGTCTTCGGGGGTCACTTTGGGGCTGGTTCAGGGTCGCTCTGGGTTTCCTTGAGTGCCCGCTCCATACGATACAGTGCTCGTTCAGTGTTCTTCTGATGGGTATTGCATCTGTTCTTGCAAATATATATATTTTGATTCTGACGGTTGCTCTCTTGATCCAGTTATCGAACCCTGCGTACTTTGTCTTTCTGGTACTTAGGGCTCACCTTGGGTCTCTGCGAGATTGCCTTAGGTAGAATGATGCTCTGTCGAGCCTGAATCTCCTCCCTCAGCGTAATTGTTTCGGGCCAAAGTAGTCGGTTGCGGCTGCAGTCAGGTAGGACTTGGTAAACTTGCAGCCATTTTCTGCCAAGAATTACGTCGTTCTGACCGAGATCCACAATCAGGAAAGGCAACTTCTGTACTCGTTAATCGATAATTAGAGTTAATACGATTGCATAAGTGATATCGCTTCCTTTGCGACCATTGTACCCCTTAATCGGTACGCTGTTTGGTAAAGGGATCGTTTGTAAGTTGAATCGTTTAGTAAGTAAAATAGCGAGATCGTTATTTAGAAAACTGAGTCCGTTGGCTCTGGTATCGATCAATGCGTATATAGAAACTGAATATCCATTAGTAGCTAATTGAATTGGAACTAGAAAACTATCGTCTTTGCGCCCGAGTAGGTTTTCTGCTGAAATATTCATTTTACACAGAGATCGATACATTAAACCTAGGTAGAAGTCTTGACCTAGGCTTCCTCGTTTTTTGATTCAGCAGGAAACTGCTCGGGAACCTCTTTCAAGGCCTTTAACTCTCGCTTGGATGCCTGAAAGGAGTAAGAACCCTTCTGGGGGCAGTCGATAACGAGATAGCCGAACTGCTTGCAGATAAAACATTTACCTTCTCTTATCAACTGGTCTTTCTCTTTACCTTTGACATAACTAAGGCGCGAACTAGCTCCCTTATTCGGGGTCGAGGATGAAGACTTGGAGCCGCCTCTAACCGTATTATGGTTTCGGCGCTTCTTTAGGTTACCCCAGAGGTCAGCCACCTTGGCACATTCATGAGTAAAGTCCCCAAAGGTTCGGTTGTCATCGCTAAAGGCGTAAGCCACCATTCGCTGCACTTCATCAGGAAAAGCGAAAAAGAAGCTTTCCTTCCAGGTATTACGATCGATCCGGCCTTCGACCGCAAGGTACTGGAACTCTGAGGCGAAGGTATGATAGTGGTCAGCGTTAGCAGCCATCTTCTGGTGGATCGCTAACTGCCAATTCTCAAAGGATGGGTTTTCGCCGGTATTCAGCATCGGCGGGTCAGGAATCTTAGTGGATCGGTAACCAGAGGTGTCGGTTCGATCCTTAGAGAGAGCCCATTTCACGGCGATAGCATTACGTTCAGCGGTTAGATCGATGATGTCTTTCCGGGCCTTGTTTGTTCTTTTGATCTCGAGCTCATGCATGCCTCTCATGACCTCGTAGACCACTTCCGGATTCTTCTTAATCTCCTCTAGGAACCTTTCTTTGGTCATAGGGATTCGATTGGTATCAATATCGTCTGTTACCTGCTCCGAATCATGCGCATCTGAATAATAATCGAGGTGTACGGCTTACTGAGATGCTCGTAGAGCCGTAGATTCTTCTTGTCTGGTTTAGACAGCAGCCGCCTCGTCGGCCTGCCTACTTTCTGCCTTTCCCACTGCTTTGTCCACTCCGTTCGCAAGCGTTGGCAGACTAGCTGACTGTCCGGCTCGTAGGGCTATACCAGGCAGCCGCCCCATAGAGCAGCTGGGGAACTACCACTGCCAGGTAGATGCGGCGCATGCTCAGCAGGGAGGTCCCCAAGGTCGAGCCTGAAATGCTGCGGAGGGCTTCCAAAGTCCTGTTCGCCTTGGCAAGGGCCTTAACCCTGTGAGTGTCGAACGAAAGGGTCCTATCGAGCCAGATTCCTAGGTATTTGGCGTGCTCCACTGGCTTGATGATAAATCCGGTTGCGTGGTGTTTGATGGGCAGCTGGTCGTGACCAGGGGGTTCCACTGGGGGATCCCAGTTGTCGGCCTCTGGGTCACCCCCGTAATAATCCAGCGTTTGGTAGTCATTTCGATATTTCATGGCGGAGGGACGCGAAGGACCCGAATTACCAGGTAGAGAAGTTTCTTGAAGTACTTTATTTTATACGTGATCGCGCTCGAGGGAAGGTTTCCTCTCTCACTGCCTGCCCTCGGTTGATCCGCGCCTAGGCCGGAAGGGATATATTGAATTAATCCTACAATTCGTATCGCTTTACGCTACTACTGTTCTGTACGCTTTGAAATAAATCATGCTGTTTTCTGGTGAGCTAGATCAGTCAAGCTGGCCCTGAAGTAACTTAGGTATACTGTAGGAAAACCAATTGATATTGTAAATATTTTCTCGACCCCACATACTACCGACGGCAACGAAGACTCAAGTGCAGATATCCTCTCACGGACACAACACCTGCCGGGAAGCGACGGTACTGTGGGGGAAGTTATGGTGGCAATTGCAGTAAACAGTCGCTAGGCCTCGCCATAACCCGTGGGTAGACGGGTCGGGTCCAAACCCAACCCGTTTCTTGGCGGGTTTTGGGTCAATAATCTGTTGGCCGTCTCTCTAGGCGTAATTGCTAGTAATGTACCCGTAGGAATATCGAATGATGAAGGTCTAATTCTTTCAATCTAGTTGCAAACGGTGGTTTAAATACATGAAGAATAATAAGCAATCTAGCCTAAAAAAGGCAGTTAGAAGAGACATAACTTTTGAACCATGGAAATAACAGAAAACTCTGCATAATCCTCGGGGATCGGTAGTTACCAATACCGATATCCGGAATAGGAAGGTCTCCTATGTGACTAGCGGTCACATACGGTTGACATAATCCGAACCCGCGGGTTGGGTATGGGTTTGGATATTGAATGTCAAAGTGAAGAGGAAAATATTAACACCCAGTCTACAGGAAACAATTGTTGATATAGCAGCACTGGTGGGTTGAGAATGGGGAGAGACTGGAAAATAGCATGCCGTCAAGATGGTAGCACAAATGCAACGGCTGGTGATGTTACGCAACGCAGCAAGCGCGCAGGTCTTGAGAATAGCCTTGACTTTCCAACGGCGCCAGCGACTGACCGAAAGCTAAACCTGATGTTTGCGTCGCGCTGCGTCTCGGTTCTATCTGTATCCCATCAGAGGCAGTCAACTACCCCAACGCAGCAACACAAGGATATTTGCGGTGCCCCACGAAAGCAAAAAACAACTGTCAGCCTGAATCAAAGCTCCTAGTACCTTATGATAACTGTCGGCTCCTCCCATGCGCTGGCTCGGTAGGACAATATGCTGGGTATCCCCAAGGCCAACAGACAGTATCCTGTTAGGTAATATCGCCCAAGTCAGCTATCTCCCCTGACCCGACACATCCATTAGACAGATTGCCCCCGAAGCCATGTCTGCTTATACATTTCTGATTGAAGCAGAAGCATCAATATAACCATCTACCAGTCCCGAGCCATTCAGAACACTGAGCAAGCACCTTCTTTTCTCGAACTTCGACGAACATGAATGGTGGCATAAGTCCGCACTAATGGTGGCAAGGATGCTTTCAGCTGCGAACTATGACATCCACCAACAGTACAAGTATCTGTGCTTATATGCGCTCCACATTGTGCCAATGATGGGACCTTTCCCGTCATTAGGCCGACCCGGGCTCTACACCACCCCCTTCGTCGGCATGGGAACATTGGAGCTCAGCACCAATTTTGTGCGCTCAAAAACCACAGTCCGAATGAGCATGGAGCCTATCAGCTATAGAGCTACAACCGGCCCCGGCCTTTTTAACCGAATCATGCTTGGCAGGATGCTGAATCGATTGAAGCATGCCGGTGTCGCCGTGGACCTGCCATTATATCATCAACTCGTCCATAGACCGACTTTATCCGATGAAGAGGAAGCCGCATTTCCTAAATGCGACGAGAAAAGAAATCTGCCGTACAATTATCAGGTTGCGGTGGTCTTGGATTTTGCAAATGAAGACGCCGTTATCAAATTATCTCTACTGCCAACCCTCAAGGCACAGCTCACTGGAATTCCCAGCTCAGACTTGATATTTTAGGCAGTCAGGGCTGTCGATAAAGAGGAAAGCTTCAAATATGCCTTGGCCGTGCTCAAGAACTACTTTACAAAGCTTCCTTCGTCTATATCCGTGCACTGGATATGCTTTGACCTTGTCAACCCCAAGACCTCGCGATTCAAAATCTACTTGTTGGATCACCAAGTAGACTTCCAGCGTGTCGCTAATCTCTGGACCCTAGATGATGTGCTTGCAAGTGCCGAGAATTCAAAGGGACTGGACCTGCTACGTGAACTATGGGAAGGTCTCAAAATCTCCGACGGTCTTCGCAAATCGACTGCGAATTCCGATCAAGCTGATATCGTACGCGAATCCTTGTGCATTCTTGCTAACTACGAATGTCAACCGGGTCGATCGCTCCTACAGCCGAAGATCTATGTACTGCTTTCCGGAATGAGTGAAATAGGCATCGCAAAGGTCGTTTCAAGCTTCATGCAACGACACCTGAATGCCGAATAGGGACGGGCATACATCGACAATGTTTCTTCTTTTATGTAAGTGCTCCCTTTGGAACGATTGCCATTTCGTAAAGGAAAGCTGGCATCTGATATCCTGTACAGCCCCGGAATCAATCTTGAGACAAGTACCGAGTTCCAATTCTGGCTTTCATTCTCCTATTCGAAGCTAAAAGTACCGTATATGACCATGTACTACCATTAGGCGACGTCAATGGAGAGGGCATCCCAGCTCTGAATTGGGTAGTGATTGAAATCTTCTCTCACTGGCCTTATTAAGTCCGTCTCTTGGCAAATTTCTCAGATGCAAAAACGTAGTCATGGAAGACGAACAACCCACAAAGCCTATGTTGCCTATTAGGTAAATATGCTGGCTTTAGATTAACGCTCAACGCTTGAGTCCATGGACATGAAAAGACAAAGGCATCGCCCTATGTATATACACTCTAGTACAGGACCATAGTCATCAGTCCTCCCAATCCAAGATCGCCGAATCGACCTGAGTATGCGTTTCCGGACCCCGATTATCCGTCCACGAAACCCTCGACGCATTCTCATGCACCCCACTGTTCAGATCGCAATTGATCGGCTGACCCGCAATGTAATTCTGATATGAGTAGACCACTCCGCTACACAACTTGCTGAACGGGACTTCGGCCGACTCTCCGCCCAACGCGTTGGCAATCACATAGTTGAGCGTCGCACAGGCTTTAATGCATTCCTGCAGACTCCGCAGGCCTTTCAACTGTCCTAGCTTGATGATCTGCGGATTGTTGAACGACATGCTATCGGGGATGTTCTCGTAGCAGTGGATTTTGTATTTCAGGGTACGATTGTTAACGGTGAACGGGCTGGAATCGTCAGCCGGGTTATTGGGCGTATAGTACTGATTGTCCGTGGCATTGCAACCGGAATTCAATAGGCCGTATGGTTTACTGTTGGTGCTGGTCGACGTTTCACCCGTCGTAGTCGCCGTCGCCGTCGACGAGGTGGAAGGATCCGCAACGGTACTTGTCGGGGAGATGCTATTCTCAGCTGGTAGCGAAGAAGAGTCGGTATTACTATATTCAATTAGCGCAAGACTCGACATGCATGCCAGTATTGACTGGCTCGATGAACGCGTACCTTTTCTGACTGGCCAACCCACCGCCAACGCCAGCTCCTATGGCCGCCGCAAGAACCACAACCAACGCGACGATCAGGATCCAGAAGATTTTCGGCGCCAGCCCACATATCCTTTGCTTGCCTCTATTCACTTCCTCATGCTTAGCTTCCGAGTACTGTGGCCAGCCGGTAGTGTACGCGATCTTCTGTGTATCCTTATCGTTAATGACCTCAATACCACCGTGGTAAGGCACCACTTCGGGGGCACAACTCGAGATGTGATCTCGGTGCTCCATCAGGAGCAACCACTGCTGAGTTAGACAGTCTATGGGAGTCTAAGACAGTGTCACCGAGAGTAGGGTCATTACACAGAACTCCGACGTGCCAGACAAACAAAAGACTCCGGTGGAACAGAAGAAGCGAGAACCGACTGAGGAAGTGATATCTCTATCGCATAATCCCCAGCATCCCCGATATGAATGATATTGACTGAAGGAACCGAAGAAACAAAAAGTGAAGATCACTGAGCTCCATGATAGAGGAAACTACCTAGGATTATCATTAACAAATTCACAGCGCCAAAAGCTGACTTGATCTGCCAGGAAACAAAGAGGGGGTGATATGCCAATCGCGCAAGTCTGGTCAAGCAGCCCACCCTTAATTAGCAAGGCGTTACATTGCAGGGCGCTAACAGGGGGGTTTTGCACATCTATGCCCATTTCACCTCCACTCGAAGCGTCGTTCGGCTTGGCAACTGCACTGGGCTACAATGTTGTCACGGGCTTGGCAGTGAGTAGGTGCGCTTCTACCCGCCAAGACCGTTTAGTAGGTCTGTTGGACGTTTTACCAACTGAGCTACTAAAAAGACCAGAATACCAAGTCAACGACTTGGTACGCGCATCGCTCTATATAGTGGTTCTTGGTCAGTTCGTCACAAATGTGAACACAAACTAGACGCGACGGAGCCAATCGTCAAGGTGCACAACGTCGATCAGAATGATTTTTGATCAGTTTCCACATTTCTAAAAATGAACACTGAAAGCGAAACAAGGCTGCTCCAGCCTCTATGATTTCTCGCTGGGCTAATTGGGCTCAGACATGGCCGGCGCAAGTTAGCGCGCATTAGCCAGATTAATCCCTGGCGCTTAGCGAATGCGCCACGCCCAGGGTCTCTCCGTTCAGCTGTCACAGGTTACTTTTCGAGTTATTCCGTATGGGATGCCTCTAGAATGATTGGTCTTCGTAGGAAATCATCTTTATTGCATTCGAGATGACAGTTTCCCTAAAGGGGGTCTGAATTCTGCTCAGCAAGTACGCGCTGTATATCTCCTGACAAGATACCAAAATGAACATCTTCCTGGCAACTATAGCTCAAAAGCGCCAGCTAGCGGTCTCTTCTCTTACTCAAGATGAAAAAAGCCTTGCATCCCACCGCTACATTACTTATCGGAGCCCTCCCCGCTTACCGGAGGTTGGGGCGATGGTCCTTGGTTCGCTGTAAAATCGCCTAAAAACGTGGCGTGGCATGACATGACCCTAGGCGCCCCCATTCAGTGTCTCCTCACACCGGATGATATCTTTTGCACTGGGGTAGAGGTCTTAGTTCTGCCTTACCTGCTCCCATGGGAAGGGGTACAGTTCTTCATTACGGGGACCCGAGGAACGCGTTGTTTGCGGCTGAGTTGGCGATGGCGGTGGCAGATGCCCACGGTACGCTCTTTGGCATGTAACACTCACTACGCGCCATACAATTCGAACATGGTTGATCCCGACTACACTTGAGCTTCATCGCTCGGCAAAGCTGACAAGAGACGGGAAATTGTCTCGGTCGCCGACGCTGCATTGTGATTGGCCAGGAAGAATCTGCTCCGATGGCATTGCAAACTCCTTCCTTAATACCTCACGCGTGGGCTCGTCACTAATAAACCCACCGGTCAGCTGATTTTCTATATCAATTACCGCCTGTTTCCGACTGAAATCACGGCGTATTCCTTCCGCCGTTTGTCCTGCATACGCCAGCGCAGATTGTGGACTTGACGTTTCTGGTCCTCGGACGATGCCCCCAACATGTAACTGAATGTTTGTTCGCGGCACTTTTAGTCTCCCGAGAACGTTACCGATTGATACGAATCTATGAGATTACGTGATCTAGCGGCTTGGCCCGCACACTCGAACCCCCTGAGGAACTTACCCCTTTATCGATCATAGAATAGAGAAGAGATTGAATCGTTATGCAAGAGAATTAAGAGCCCTATCATTCAAAAGGCATTCGCTCCTTAGTAGGCTACGTGCGTATAGCCGATACAGTGTCATTCTGCCCTCCTTACCCTGTGCATTTCATAACACCGATGGTTCTGGGTAGACTTCGGCAGGACCCATGGGTACCCATGGGTACCCATATAAAACCCATCGATGGGTTGGGTTTTGGGTCCAAGTCTCCGACCCATGATGGGTTATGGGTTTTAGAAGAGGACCCATTACCCATCATGAGTAACCCATGGGTACCCATATTGGTGTAAACAAGACAAACAAAGAAGAATCTCGTGACTACATAATTAATGCAAATTTGTCTGTAATTTTAGGTATTGTAGTTACATATAGAAGAAATAAGAATTGATATAGATAGGTTCGAGTTAAATTGATTCCATTCTTCTAATACTGCTTAAAGTTATTGTCCTCTTTATGTTTGCGTTTCCTTCCAGATGTCCGTAGCTGAGTCCTATTCTCTGGTAACTGGAGCTCTTCAGTATTACTCGCAGTACTAAGATCTATTAACTTATTGAAACTTTTGGAAGTAACTATTTCAGTATCTTTCTCCTCTTCCTCTTCTTTTTTCTCGTTATCGCTAATTAAATTAACTCTAACATCCTCCAGATTCTCATTACTCTGTTCCTTTGATGTCTCAATCTCATTCAAAGTAAAATATTTCTCAAGCTCCTTTGCCTCTGTATCCTTAAGATCAAACCTTGATACACATAGAAATAGCATAATTTCTTCAATAGTCTCCGACTTCAAACGGCTACGTCAGTAATGGTAAACATTACGGGCAGTGTTAAAAAGCCGCTCAACACCAATACCGGTTGCAGGAATTGAAAGAGCATCCCGGGCAAGTAATGCAATTGCAGGAAAACGGGATTGATTGTTACGCCAGAATTGGAGAGGCTTAGCTTCCACTGGATCTAAAATTAAATCAGTATAGAACATTAATAGCTAAAACTAACAGACTTACCACTATCGAGATACTGGGTAGCCTCATCTCCAATAGGTTTTGCCACGGCTTTATTCCCACTTAGCATCTTATTAAGCCTTGATGTTGATCTTGATGACGTTTGGGGCGTAGGCGAAGCTTGATCTCTTAAAAGACGTTCTTGATAGGGAAGCAATGCTGATTGAAATAATTTGTGATATATCTTACGCCAATGTGGTTCCCAATCATCAGTCTGGAAGAATTGAAACTTGTTATCTGGTGCAAGCATAGTACCGATAGCAAAGATATGTCCTTTCATCCTATCTGTTTGAGAGTAGTAGTTACTAAGCTTCTGTCGGCTTGCTTCTAGTGACTGTAACATTTGCTGTTTCCATCTAACACGCTTCTTTTTTAGCTGGCTTATCGATTGCTCAAGATATTCGAAAAGTGCGTTATAAAGCTTAAAAACTAGATGCGTAATAACTTCCTTTGTCTTTAATAGCTCAATGATATAGTCAAAAAATAGCTGCGTAATACAAAGAAAATAATCAATTTGACGCCATTCTTTATCATTAAGCAACATCTCTTCACAATCATATTGCTTACAGAACGGTTTGAAATAGCTGCATAGCCGTTTTGCACGTTGAAGCATCAAATACGTCGAGTTCTATCGAGTTTAGACGTCTTGAATAGGCACTAGCCTAGATTCTTGAGGCTAAAGCTGAAGGAAGGTCTCCCGACGTTATAGACTTGCATGAATGTAAATTGCAAGGTAGCGAATCTTATTCAATGTACCCGAGATCTCGCGTTTTTGGTATCTTCCATTTGTTTTCGCTGCTGATAATTGCTGATCGGTCCATTTTGTCTCTGTAACATCGTTTTGGGGTACAGCTTTAAGACGATCAAGTAGCTGATTCAAACAAAGCTGGATCACATGAGCAAGACAAGGAATTCGGATAACAGTAGCATTGTTAGGGAGTGCTTGCTGGATTGTATCAACCAATGTTTTATTGTTTGTCGTATTATCTGTTGTAATCCCGAACACCCGGTCTTGGATATTGTGGCCAACTAATGTCTCGAGAAGAGCTGCACTTAGATTTGCACCTGTGTGTGAGCCATGTAATGGCTTGAATCCAAGAAAAACCTCTTGATATACCCAGTTAACATCAATAAAATAATCCGTGACCGCCATAAAGGCCTGATTATATGGGGAAATCCAGCAATCTAATGCAACCGATATCTTTAATCCGGGCGGAAGTGTTTAAAGGGTAAAACGTTGTTTATCTTAGATAACATCCTGTAATCGTTGCCGAATTGTAGTTAAAGAAGGTATTACTAAAGAAGAAGGCGCTGAGCATGCTGATTGAATAAAAGTATAAAACGTTAGATGTTTAATAAGATGGAACGGTAGACAATTTAAAGTAAGAAACTGTAGAAGCTGAACCTCCCATGCAGCTTGCGAAAAAGGCTTAATAGTAGCTGTCCGGTCCTAAAATAATCAATATAAGGTAAATAAAGCTTGATAAGTAACATACTTCTGCTTTAAAAAATCGAAAGATATTCTCTTTACTGTTGGCTTTAGCCTTTTGGCAACTTGCTGTCTTGAGATATTTTGACAAAGTTAATGTGCCATATAGGCTCTTGCCGTTAGGTAAAGTAGCTGCAGGATATTCTAAAATCCGGGCACAGCGTTTACACATTACCTTTGGCGCTCCATCTTTATGAGAGGCAACCTGATCAAAATGTTTCCAGATATCTGTATTGCGGTTTGTATCCCATTTAAGGTTACTTTTTTGTTCGAAGTCTGTTTGGAGCCACCAGTTAACCCAATCGGTATGAACCATATTGTCATAACGTAAAAAGGCCTTTCTCTGATCTGGGCCAACACGGATAAGTGATGCAGGGATAGAAGGATTGCTCGGTCGGACAAAGTTAGACTCGTTACCTTCGATTGGATACGAGCCTAAGATACTATCTGTAGGTGTAGTAAGGTAGTATAAAAGTATAGAATAGGATAATTAACCTGTTTCTTCCTCATAAAGAGAGGGTAAAAAGTCAGAGTGCTAGCTTTAGCTTTGAGACATATTGACACAAAAAACCATAAAGCAAGACAAATAGGTAGAAAGAGAGGATACACCTTCGTCGAAAAGACTGGATTGATAGATTCCCCTAATTCCAGCTGGTTGCGGGAAAAAGCAAAAGCAATATAGGGAAATCAAATATTATTGGCTTTTTTAGTGGGTCTAAATATAAAACCCATCGAAAACCCATAAAACCCATTGAAAATCCATCGAAAACCCACAATACCCCTCAAAAACCCATCGAAAACCTATCGAAAACCCACAATACCCCTCAAAAACCCATTGAAAACCCATTGAAAACCCATAATACCCATTGAAAACCCATGCCCAACCCATTTCCTTACTCGGCCAAAGAATATTCAGTAGGAAAACCTCTGGAATTGCCTTTGTCCTCATTTCAAAGATAAATAGACAAAGAACAGCAGTATTAAAGCACAACTACATTAGATCAATAATAATATTAGTCTTTATTATCTATTGGCTTACATTTAGAAGGTATTCCCTTTAAATTATTGTAGTTCTTCGCCGGAAAAAAATTCCTTTGAGCTTTCACAACGAATTGTTCTACGGGCCATGGCCCCCTATAAATGTAGATTATATATCTTTATCCATTAAAACAACTATAACTTTATAACCTACAGACTTAATACTATCACTATCAAAAATTAAGTTTTTGATTTGAAATTAATAGAGAATCAGGTTTGAAGATTCTTCTGCTAACATAAAAAAATAGTTTTCTAGTAGAGATTATAATTATAAGACTATGAGATGCTAAACGAGAGAAAACATGTCAAAATTACAATCTGAAATTTTGTTAAGTAAGCTGAATTATGTATGCCAAGTCTCAAATTTGTGCAGAATATGGGTTTTTTTGGGTCCCATGGGTACCCATCAAAAACCCATGGGTACCCATTGGGATGGGTTGACCATTTCAAAAAAACCCATAACCCATATGGGTTTGGCGATGGGTCCAACATTTGGACCCATCGATGGGTTGTGCCGAAGTCTAGTTCTGGGAGCGTCTCTGACCTTCTAGTAGAATAGGCTTTCAATTCATCGGAACCCCCGACCCAATTTTGAGATCTCTAGATATGTTTTCTGGAGTAATTGGTTCCTGCGTAATACAGGTAAGTTCTCAGGAGGGTAGAGACTAGTCGTGGGAGCTTTCATTTGAGCTGTTATGAGCGAGCACATCTCCAGGAGCTGAGTCGTATGCTCCTCGAAATGGGCCTTGGTTCGCTATAGTGGTGTACTATTGAACAGACCACAGAGAAATGCGCCCGCGATTTTTGCCCCGTTGCCTTGTCATCTTTACTCCAGATTAGATAATAGATTTATAGTGGTCAACTGAAGATGCTGCTGCAACGAATTGACTTTCATGCCTGGTCGATTAATTGGGTTATTTTTATATACATCGAAATATTTTCCTAAACTACCGCTTCCATCTAAGAAGGGAGAAAAAAACCCCCCCCCTACTTATGCTTCGCCCGGTGAAATTTTGCTTCCGCACACTACAGGTGCAAATAATGTCGATTTTGGGAAGGTAATCTGTTCATTTCGGACCGCTATCTGGAAGTCATAGTGCCTTAGAATCATAGTTAGGATAATAATACCGAAAAAGGGTTATTCATTGAACCTGTCCCCGTTCGCGGCAGCAGCCACTGCCTATTGAGAACGTGTTCCAAGGCAGGTTAATTTAGGCGAATCAGTTGCTCATACCGGCCAGACGGCCCATATTCAGCTGCGAACGAGTAATCAGATGCAACTTTCTCCACTAGCGCATGCTCAAAACGTATGTCTATGTCTGTTCCTTGCACTAATCTGTGCAGCCGCTCCTGGCCCTTCTGAAGGAGCACAGTGGTTGCCCCCAAATTTGGAAGATCTAGCATCTTCCCAGGGAACAATGGGTCTAGACTTCGGGACAACCCTAATGTTGTTCTGGTTCAGGGAGGGCTAGCACGCGGCATGCAAAACGACTGGTCTGAAGGCTAGCTCGGGTTACTCTTTCAGCCCTCCTGCGGAGAGGGTGGTAAGGGTAAAGGCGGCAGAGGCGGACTGTAGCAGTAGCAGCTATATAGTCTAGCTCGATCTCTGCTGGCAGGAGCCCTGACTCTCGGTAAAATGCGGGAGTTAGAGTCGTACGATAGACTGGAAGAATCGTTCTAGCCCTATCAGAGAGGAGCCCCCGGATCCCCCCCCAGGTCTCCATAGTGAAGCCTCCCGGCGCTAGACTAACTCTGGGGGGATCCGGAGTGGGGTAACAGGACCTCCCCTAAAGTTAATCCTTGGTAATTGGTTTTTCTTTTTTCTTGTTGTACTAGGTAAGGTCGCGTCGCGTTCCGTTACGTTCCGTCTGTCGCACCACGTCATGTCTAATATAATAATATATCTATTCTCCTATCTGTTCCTGATAGAATGAATGATACTTAGTCTCTCTCCCTATACTATAATATTACTTCTGGTAGGCATCATTTTCTCTCTATCAAGATCTGCATAATATTAGAGAAGTAAATCCTGTTATACATCTAAATGGAACCGGCTTTCTAATATTTCTGGTACAACAGTCAGTATCAATGTATTATCTGTTATGACTGCTAGTGTACCTTCCTAAATCGTTTAATATTGCGGCATTTACGTACTTGCTATCAGATTGAAAGCCGTACCGCAATAGAGTACCAATTACAATGTATTCCAGAAGATACATATTTTCGTAAAAATTATACTGATTTTTTTCCGCTAATTGATAGTACTGACGTTATTTTTAGCCTGCCAATCTATAATTTACTGCAGTATAATTACTGTAGCTTCTTTACTGCCTCAAAGAAATGGCTCCAGCGATATTACCGGATCGAGCATACTGTCGGGAGCCCTCGCCCACTGGCCTGGATCCCTGTTCAGGGGCAAAGTTGGTTTACTTATGCCCGCTATTGTCGGTACTGGGTGACTGCGCCCACGCGTCTCTAGAGATTCATGAGTCTCCAGTCCTCGGTCGTACCGCCTAATCCTAATAGAAAACTAATACTTTCGTCCCTTGCCTCTATACAGTTATCCCCTAATAGACTGTGCCTACCGACTCTATCCCTATTATCCCCGACGCCAGCGGAAAATGATACCGATATAAACTCCTGCCAACCTAAGATGCCCCCCCCCATTCGACCAATCAAATCTGGATTAGGGAAAATTCCGCGTACGGGAATGATCCCCCCTAGAAAGGAAACGATAACTCCATGGTTAGCCCAGACCGGATGGCTTCGATATCTGGAGAGACGGCCCCTTCAAACGCTTGTTAAGCTCCGGGACTATCCCAATACCCTTCAGCAAGATCCTACGATTGCGAGTGTCTGGTAGACTGAGAAGAGCAGCTATTATATTACCATTTTTTACATGATTAGGGCCTCGTTTGACCGCATTATGGCCCGGGCGTTGGACACACTGGACATTACCCACGAGCCGATCCGCTAGATCTTCTATAGCACTATTGCCGGTAAGCTATATAAGCGAGCGTTAGACCGGCTACAGCTAACTACCGAGAAAAGATACATCAAGATATGGAAGCACTTTTTATATTAGTCTTTCCGGGCTGCTTCGTTTCCAGATAACAGACAGTTCCAAGATCTCAGGATCCCGCTAGATTTATACCAAAAGAAATATCTTTATCGGATCTAAATAACGTTAGAACGTTTTCTCTGCTAGCCAGACGCTATTAAATTTACGCAAGCAGTATCGCTACCGGTAATTACTACGGCATTTTTTGAGCTGCCAGTAATATTTTATAACTTACCAGCTCGGCTAAAAAAACGATCGTTATCAGTATTTTTCTGCGACCCAGTTGATGCCGAGGAGAGGCCTATTATGAAAAGGCAGGTAACCCGATATTAGACTATAATTGCAGTTTACATCCCTGTCTATTGCCGGCCAAACGTAACGGATCATTTAATGGAGCTTTCCCCGGACTCTCACATTCTGCTATCATTTCCGTAAAATCAGGGTACTCTACAGGGCCGTCAGTAACACAGGGTTAAAATAAATGACCAGTTTCCAGTAACCGACCATAAGGAAAGTCCCGAGGAAGCCTTCCTTAGATATTCCGCTAGCGAGGTCAGCAATGTATCTAATAACAATAAATAAGACATAAAACAAGATAAAAATAAAAAAGAGGAATACCTCCTATCTCTAACAGTAGAATCTGTTTAGTGTTTTTCTTATACCGATAATACAGGGCGGCTGGCTTTACCGGCTCTCCCACTTGCGAAACAGAAATAGCTTAACGAAAGTCTATTCAGTTTCTGCTTGAGCTATCTTACGATAACTAGCATCCAATATACCGGCAATAAATTTGCGACTAATCTAATGGCATTTACGGCCGTACTTAGTATTTAGGTCTCTATCCTTACCTTTTAGGAGTTATACTCGTATTTTTTCTCGCTCTCTGTTTTGATCTGGATTAGCCGAGTCCTGCTACTCGAATATATTTTCTTTTTCCGGCGGTATCACTATCTGCAGGACATTCGGTCCCGGCATAAGGTCCGGAATCAGTACTAACGGGCCCAAGCGATCTAAGTCTGATATGCCGTCCGTAGGAGTCTCTACTCTTTTTACGCCATTCTCGAGCTACTCGATCGGGCCTGTTGGCACATCCGTTATACTGCTCGTCCGAAAAATATACTGTAGTTGCCAGATTATCAGACTCTATTCTACCGCGGGTCTCCCCGGGAGATTTATCTTGACGATATCCGTGGGTGGATTAAGACCCTCCTCCAGTCGGTAACCCAGACGTTTGAATACAGACTTTTTTTCGGTATTTATCCTTCTATCAATCTTACTACGCTAGTCAATAATCTAGGCGAGTATCGGGCCGGTTTCTGCTTTCTTGATATACCGGCGAACCAGTTTCAGCCTACCTATGTACCGTTGCTCGCAGTCTAGACGACGCTACCAGCGGGCATGATCCCTTTCTGCCAGGATAATCGATAAGATCCGCGCACTATTATAACGTATCGGACCCAGGCTCAGTAGTTTCTCGACTATCTTGCTCTCCTGATCCAACTGATGTAAGGCCAGCTGAGCCGGAAGCCCGAACTGCTGCAGCTGAAATGGCAGAATACCTCAATAATATCGCGGAACCTATACTTACATTAGGGTAACGTGCTTTTCATTACCAAGTACCATAAGTCGCAGGTGCGCATTCAGATTACGCAGCATATAGCCCGTTTTCTGTGCCCCTCAGTTAGTTAACTAATAGTACTGTATTTGTTGCGCGTCCGCCCCTTTCTTGTGCTGTTTCACCAGCAGTTACGGAAGAACGGACAGCCGCACTTATACTACTGTTAAGTCCAGTCTAGCGCGATAGATAACTATCTTTTTATTTTACCTGGGGCAACGCCCTCCCGTTTTCAGGCCGATAGGATTACTGCCCTTATGCGAGAGACCGTCCAGCCTTTCCTTCATGGGCAGGATATTATTACCTGTAATTACTGATATATCGCCATTGTTATTGCTAAAAAGTACCTCGTTTCGCAGGCAACGCCAGCTGATTGGAGAATTGTTACCGCGGCTCTCAGTAATATCCTAGCTGCGCAGACAGGTCATTATAGCTACATTAACGAACAGGTCTATACCGTAGACGTCAGCTAGCCATTCGGTCTAACACCGGGCTAGATTAAGCAGTTTGCCGTAATATCCCGACTGTAGTACACTTTCGTCTTCCGCTTGGTGCCTTTCCGAGATCTTTCAAACTGCGAGAGTTACATTCTACCAGAGATCTCTCTACTATACCAGCTAAAACAAAAGCCCTGCGTTCTGTTGGGTCGGTCGATATATGCGGTCCAATTACTGCTTTAAGCCTTCTTACAATTCTACCCGGAATGGCAGCTGCTAGTGTGCATCACATGTCAGACTGTTATTTACCTTTCGCAGGTACGCTAGTATATCGAGTATCACATGAGCCATGTCTTGCTGAATGCGGCGGACCGCCAGACTATCCAGTCCCTGGCGGTCCAGTTTCCTCTCGACGTCTGGTACCGTTTTCTGGCTCAGGAGTTTTCTGTCGCCCCTTTCCCGAGGCTGCCCTAATGGGAGGCGTTGCCCTGTCAGTGGCCCGGCTACCTGGCGCTGCGCCTTTCCCGTCGGGCCTTGCAGATATACATTTGGGCCAAGCATCCATTAACTGATCTGAGTGAGTTCCTGTCTCTAATCGGTACTGCGGTACCTGCCCAGTCCCTGACCCGCGCGAGAAAATATATCTTTCGGGTACAGCGGGCCGCTAGAGAGGTATCTACCGATTAAAGGCTCTCCAGCAAGTGGATCACCCGGGAACCAGATACCTAGGCTGCAGCGTTTTCGTGGCCCGGCCTCAGGAGTTTACGATCGCGCTCAGCCAGCAGTAAATAGCTTTATAGATATAAAACTATTCCCAACTATCCTTACGGGGATCTCCTGAGGAAACTTTCCCCAGAACCTTATATAGTCAAGGATCAGAAACTCAAGTTATTACATACAGGATAGTTACCTACAGAGTACTCCTCTACTGCTAGCCGGAGAGATCCTACTAAAGGCCATAAGGCGATAGTAGGGATCCCCTTTAGCCGGCTACGTGTATCGTTTTGTGGTACATATCTAGGCCGTTTCCAGTGGAATTACCCGCAGACAATAAAGTGCAGCATTTATTACTTTTGCTATACACTATTTCCAGCACTTATTACTCCCAACATTTACTACTCCCGGCACATGCCATGGCGGGGATCTTCTGAGGAAGCCTTCCCCAGAACCTTGTATGGTCGAGGGCCAGGAACCTAGGTCATCGCACGCGGGATAGCGGAGAGATCCTACTAAAGGTCATAAGGCGATAGTAGGGATTCCCTTTAGCCGGCTACGTGCATCGTTTTGTAGTATATATCTAGGCTGTGCCCAGTGAAATTACCCGCAGGCAATAAAGCGCGGCATTCACTACTCCCGGCACATGTTATGACAACGATGCGAACAGTATAGCAGGTCCTAGAGATACCTTCCTTTTCGCTAAAAGGTATAAATATTCCCTTTCCTCTCTTTTTTCCCTCTAGATTTTCTCTCCTTTCTAATTTTTCTCTTCGAACTTATTTTCTTGTATCTCACTCGACTTTCTAGGAAGGCAAGCTCAGTATCTTCTAAATGACTACCCTATAATCCTCGTCCGACGAGGACGGCCTGGATGATATCATTAACGCGGACAACAATACCCTAAAAGATATCGACCAAAAAAATACCCTTGCCGGATTCGACTTTACCGAGATTAGTAACCTGAAAGGTATCTGTACTGCCCTAGAGACCGTTACAAGCGTAAAAGAACTAAAGAAATGATTTAAGAATACTCTATTCCGACCCCATTTCCTATACTGTTACCTGCACGCTATCCTCCCCGCTTAATCCAGCGGCAACAACATGAATCGAGGTAAATCGTTTATCACTATTATTGCCCGTATCTATGCCGCGGCCAACAGCGGTAATACTAAATACTTTAACCATTTTTCCGATAAGACCAACTGGGACCGGGCCGACTGGACTGCCTTTTGTTTACTTACTTTGGTTAACGTCAATACGCGCAACGTGAACAGGATCTTCTACAAGAAAGCCTGGACACAGGAGCATAAAGAGAAGGTAATATAGGCGATTTTCTGCATTATTCGACAGGAATTTGCCGCCTCCCGTATGGAAAAAGGTATAACCCTTCTTAGCGTAAATAAAAAGATGCGCAATTTTATTCGTACTTCTCTCTAAACTCCCTATCTTCTACCTAGCGAGAACGCTAGTCTAGAAAAGGACCCGAGGAAACCTTCCACAGAACCTCTTACGTTTGGACTCGCTGCTCCCTTTACCCCTATTGCCCCCGAAAAACCGGCCTTCAAGCTAAGGGTTCCAAGCAAGCGTTTTACCCGACTCCTCCAGCCGAGACCGAGCCGAAACATAAAATTATCTGTTAAAAGTAAGAATCCTACAGGAATCCCGACTCCCGTTTTCGCTGCTCCTGCCCCTGCCAGTATTCCTCTATCGGTAAGCTGATTATCCACTCCGATCCCCGATACCTTTATACCGGCCGGGCCAGTTATTCGTTTCCGCCATTAGAGAGATAAACTGATATCCGCAATTTAGCGGGCATTTTAAGCCGTCTCTTAGACTTCCGACCTCAGCGAGCCCTATTGGCAGTTCCATTTGATCGAACTGTGTCTGCGTTTTATCAAGAAGAAACTAGCAGAGGAGCTAGCGCCAGATACCTCGGATACTGATAATACAAAGCTCCCCCATAAGGATAACATGCAGGACGAGGCGGATGAGACCTCCATAATACCATTTAAGGTCTTTATAGCTACCGCGGGGTTTTACTCCATATATTATCTTACCGGGCAAGAGATCAATACGTTAACATTAGCACACTATACTGCTGATACCATTCAGAAGGCCTATAAAGATACGCCTGACGGTCGGGTGACCCTGTCTCAAATTACCGCGGCATCCATCGAAATCGCTCGCGAGCAGCAGACTTGGCTCAACAACCTCGAACTCTAGCGCGAGAATCACGAGGAAGCCTACGAAGCATTTAATATCAGCAATCCAGACATTCTTAAACATTCTGCAATAAGGATCAATACGTCCTTCCGTTTTTGGTAGCCTGTAGCTATCTATGCAATCGCATAGTTTCGCGAAAATCTACTGCTTTCCGGGTGCATCTTGGCCGATATAGTTGGACTTGGCAAAACCTGGATGGTTACCGGGTATATTCTGCATATAAATAACCCCATCCCTATTCGTTTTCTGGCTTTTCCTTAGGTAGGTGCTAGAGAAAGCTTCTCCAGCACCTCTCTATTATCCTGATCTTTGACTAACCTGTTTGCTTGTAGCGGGTTATAACGCTGAAAGGCAAGCCTACCCTCATTATCTGTCCCCCCTATCTGGTGTGGCAATGAGCCGCTGAGATCAAGGCCGTTACCAAACGGCTCAAAATCATTGTATACTTTGGAGACGCGCGAGAAGACCCTCCAGTCGACGTTAAAGTTATCTTTAAGTTGGCAGGCAACTTCTTATAGATAACTGGCCCGCAAGCACATTATACCGTAGTCATTACCAGTTATCAGACTTTGGCGCAGTGACATGGACTCGCCGAGTACAAGTCATGGGCGGAAGAATATAGCAACGGCTCTCTAGCGGAATAATCTAAATCCTTTTAGGGACTGTTCGACACGATAGTTATTGACGAAACCTATACGTTTTGGAACCTGGATATGGTATAATGGACTGCTGCCCGGTAAATTTACCCTAAGTAAACTATCCTGATTACCGCTACCTCCATTTTCAATTCTTATAACGATATGGCCGGCTTACTCCCATTCCTGTTATTACCCAAAAACGATAATTTATGGATAGGCGTAGACTCTAAGATTAACCCGTTTACGTTCCCCGATATCTACTTTCAAGTCCAGCTGATCCTCACGAATGAGGCAGTCCAGCGATTCATCTTTAAAATGTCTAACGAATTCGTTTGCCCGGATAGTGTGATCCGCGGCCTCTACCTCCGCCAACTATAGAAATACCTAATAATTTAGCGCTTGTTATCCTCTTACATCCCGTTTGCGAATGGTAAACGCATTGGCGATAATATACTTCCTTCCCAATACCAAGTGATTTTTGTTTGTTACTGTGCCCGTAAAACTACCCAATATTACCGATAGTAAAAGTAACTCTGCTGCTACCTCTTTGTCTAGACCCGCGAGGGCCAAATCATATGAAACATGGTCAAGTATCGAGAACTTACGCTAGTTATTACCTGGCTGTTTTTCAGGTATTGCTACTACCTTCTAGTGCGAGCTAGTGCACGATCTCTCGATACTTAGGCCCGGCGTCTCACACTCGGTCTTCAACTGATCAAGAAGGCGATACAAGTTAAAAACTAGATTCTGATACGGAAATATACCGAGGATACTACAGCCCCTGCCCCGATAACGCATGATATTCCCGAGCAATTTACCGATTAAGATGTCCTCCTGTACCTGTTACACGGCAGCCCGAAGTTACGCGTTCTCCTATTTATAATCTAGCAGGAGGTCTTCCTGCAACAGGAAAAGTCAGTAATCTAGTGTACAATCCTTATCCAGCAGTTCTTTATCGCTGCCGCCTTTTATTACGCCCGTATTGACTGCCGGGTTTTCCACTCGGAACTTAACTTCAAGGAGCGTGTCGAGCTAGTACAAGATTTTACAACCAAAATAGATGAATGCATGGTCTTAATATGTTTCTATTACGTTAACGCAGCGGGTTCTAACCTTTAGAATCTCTGCTGAAATGTCACGGACTGTAACCTGCCTCCGAGGACCTTCCTCGCGATACCCTATAACCTAACTCCCCGATAGGGACTAGCGTCAGAGCTGTCACACATATCGCAGCCAGCTCCTGAATAGCTTCATAGCTTAGCTTAGTTTCCTCGTCAAATGCATACCCTACATTCTCACGATTCCCTATCGTCAGTGTAGCCGTTTGTCACATCAAATTAAGCTCTTCTTTTATTTCATTCTTTTTACTCCCAGCGATAACGTTGCATTGAGAAATTGTCGGTACACGTTAGCGTATGTACCCACTTAATTCTTCCAACGGAATCGCTCCACCTACCGAATCACGATAACAAGAACGACGATTACGGATCGCGGATTACAAATTATGGTACCAGCTACCCCCCGGAAGAAGACTAAAGCCACTGCAGCCCAGAGAGGACCCAATGACGAAGATCACGGAGAAAGACAGAATGCCCCTGGCCGCTTCCCTGATAATAGCGAGTTTGAACGCGAATCTGACAATCTTGACCTCCCGAGAGCGGAAATGGAAGAGGTAGTATCAGAATCTGCAAAATCTACCAGAGATAAAGTAACTCGTTAGGCTCGCAAGGCTTGCCGCCTTGAAGAGTAACGTCAGGTCGAGGAAGATCTCGAGCTCAACGACCTAGCTAATTCGATAGGTATAGATGATAACTTAGATATCTCACAGCTTGCCGCAGGGGCTGGGCCCGAAGGCGAACTTACTGAGCAACATCGCAAAATGTTTTACAGCAAGTTTTACAATTATCTGGAAACAGCAGTTAACGAAATCTAAACACTCATTCAAGAGCTTGTCCCGTTTAAAGTTCGAGCCGCGGGAATTATACGAGAGAAGAAACAGGCTGAAAAGGTTGCTACTGAGATAACCTGGGCAGCCAATATCAAAGATATCGAGATTGAGCAACTTGTGGAGGAAAAACAGAGCTACATGAACCGGATTGTTGAACTTGACGCAAAGGTTGCTGCCATGGAAAGGGCTCAGGCCAGAGATTGCAACCAGCCAGCCGCAGGCACTAGGGACCAGCGTAACGAGACTCTCCTCTCCGGTACTGGCGGTATTGGTTGCCGTTCGGTAAAGATGCCCGATCTCTCTCTCCTTGATAACGGCAAAAAGGTCCGCTTCGATAATTGGTAAATCCGAATCTACGATAAACTAGACGCGAACGCTGATTACTTTGAAACTACTAAAACGGAAATGACCTACGTGAAGAGTCGCCTGGAAGGACAAGCAGCGGAACATATTATTGTACGTTCCCGTCGGGACTCGCTGAACTCTTACAAGAGCGTCAAAGACATTATGGATTACCTCCGCTCTATCTACGAAAACCTATACCGCAAGACTAACGCTCAGAGCAAGCTACGTCAGTTAATCATGAAAGTCAGCAACAGATTTACAGAGTTCATTTCAACTTTTACTCTTATTGTCTCTGAGGCAGAGCTTGCGAAAGAGGAATAGAAAGAGAATCTTTACTAACGTTTACTACCCCGTTTGCAGACTCAGTTAGATGATCCAAGCAGCAATCCTAATGTCGATTATAAGAATTTCTGCCTGATTATTACGCGCCTTGATAATCGCCAGAATCAACGCTTTTCTCTCAAGGCTAACTAATGTACTACGGTTTTAGCCCCTTCAGGTAGACCGACCGGTAAATCAACGACTACAGATGCGTTTTCAGCGGCTGCAGTACTAACTTAACTTTCTGCAAAATCGACTAGCCCGGACTATCTTGCTCTAAGTGTAAAGAAGAAAAAGCTCTCGGACGAAGGCCGTTACTTCTACTGCAAGGAAGTAAGACACGTATCTCGCGTGTACCCTAGAAAAGTAGCAACAAATGCTATCAGTGAAATTGAGAGCCTAGCCAGGGAACAAGAGAAAGAAAACACTTAACCGGCGGAAAACTGAACGCCCTGGAGCATGTCTCCATTCCAGGGTTAGATAGATCGATCAATGCAATTGACATGAGAGAGATAACCGGAGGGCATAGCTTTAAAGTACCAGTTATGATCTCATTCAATGGACTCTCTACTAAACAGTATGCACTGGCCGATTCTGGAGCAACCGGATACTTGTATATCGATACTGCAATAGCGCTAGACTTGATTAAACGATTGGGCATTCCGATCAAAATACTACCACAAGCGATCCCAACTGTTGGATATAATGGCGAGGCAGGCAGGCCACTGCAACATTACATCCAGCTACACCTGTGGGTAAATGGATAACGATTCCTGAGTGAGCCGATGTTGATCACTCCACTCGGGAATCACGAAATGATTATCGGCAAAGCATGGTTGGCTAAACGGGACGTCTGGTTAGATTGTGCTGAAAACAAATTGCGATAGCCAGAGGAGCGATCAATTAAAGAGACAATCCAGGCCCGTGGCCATATATTTCTTTCCCGGCAGATCCTCAAGCGACTACCCCCTGACCCATCCCATCAAGCGGATATGGAGCGTCGGGAACGGGCATTTAACGCTCCAATCCCGCGAGAAGCGCAAACCCGTCGTAACAATTTAGTCAAGATGAATAGAGCGCTACACGGCCAGCAACTATCTCGATCGAATGATATTTAGCCTATACCTGTCTCGGTTCAACGAAAGGCAGCGTGCCATCCAGCAATCATGGAGATCGCGGTAATCGGAGTTGCAGGATTTAATCGGCACACTCGTAAAGGGAAGAGCGAGATCTGCGTAATAACCTTTCAGCAGATTGAAGAGGTCATCGACAATCGCCTCGCGATACTTGACCCCCAAGAAGCTGTTGACTTACGGGAGAAGATCCCCAAGGAGTACCATAATTACCTTGACATTTTCTCTAAAAAAGCTTCTGATCAGCTCCTATCACTGCGTAAAAAGAACTACCGGCTGACCCTGGACCCGGAAACGTCACCGGGTGAGACTATCGGCAACGGACCTCTCTACAAGATGTCCATCGAAGAGCTGGAAGCAGCTAAACAGTATATTATAGAGAATCTCGACAAAGGGTTTATCATCTCTAGTGGAGTACCGTTCGCGTCTCCAATCCTGATGGCCAAGAAACCGGATGGGGGCCTACGGTTCTGCGTAGACTACCGTCGACTAAATAGTATCACGCAGAAGGACCGTTACCCGTTTCCGCTAATTAGTAAGCTCATGGAACGCTTGACCGGTACTAAAATCTTTACCAAAATTGATATCTGACAGGGGTTCTACCGTATCCGCATGGAACCGGGACAGGAAGACCTTACTACGTTCAAGACGCGATATGGGAATTACAAATATCAAGTGATGCCCTTTGGATTGACGAATGGCCCGGCTACGTTCCAAAGATATATGAATAGTTTATTTATGGATATGCTCGACCGCCATATGACAGTCTTTATGGATGACATCCTGATTTTCAGCAAGAACGAGGCCGAGCACCGGAAACATGTAAAAACAGTATTAGAACGGCTTCGTACAGCAGGCCTTCAGGTTACAATCCACAAGTGCAAATTTTATCAAGCAAAAACACGATTTCTAGGCTTCATTGTATCCGGAAAGGGAATAAGGGTAGACCCTGCTAAGGTAGCAGTAGTAAACAAGTGATACCCTCCTTCTACGGTAAAAGGTGTCCAATCCTTTCTAGGGTTCTGTAACTTTTACAGGATATTTGTCCGGAACTATAGTCAGATAGCCCGACCATTGAATGCATTAACCAGACGATCCGCCCCCTTTATCTGGGATAACGCCTGCCAGGAAGCTTTTGAAGAGTTACGGGCACGATTGATATTAGTGTCGCTTCTACGACATTACAATCCAAGCTTACCGAGTCGGCTAGAAACAGATGCTTCAGACGAGACTATTGCAGGAGTTCTCTCTCAGGAGTTCGAGAGATCCTGGCACCCGGTTACCTATTACTCTAAGTCTATGTCAGGTCCCGAGCGCAACTACGATATCCATGACAAGGAGATGCTGGCAATCATTTACGCTCTAAAAGAATGGCGTCCGGAGCTAGAGGGACTACAACGAACTGACCGATTTAGTATATGGACTGATTACCGGGCACTAGAATACTTTATGACTAAGAGAAAGTTCAGCCGACGGCAAGCGCGTTAGTCTGAATATCTGTCCCGTTTTCATTTCTTAATTCGATTCCGCCCGGGGAAGAGTAACGTAATCGCAGATATCTTCTCACGGAAAGACTACCGCGGGAGGACTGGAGACAGCCACAATATCCAATAGATAATACCGGAGGACGCCCTAGAGCAAGCCATCCGTAACGAGCGTACGCTAACTACGCAGCTCTGCGTTCTCGAGAACCTAAAGGGGATCAAGATTGTTGACCAAGTGTTAGCCGCTAACCGGTCCGCTCCCTCACTGGAGGACCAGCGTGCTCAGGCACAGGAGCCAAATGATAACTGGTCGTTACAGGATGGATTACTCCTGCACCAGAGACGTCTTGTAGTCCCGGAAGAAGATCTAGAGCTGCGCACCCGATTTCTAGAGAAAATATATAGCCAGCGTTCGACCGCCCACCCGGGACGCATGAAAACCCGCCGCCTTTTCCAGCAACGATTCTACTGGCCGGAATGGGGTCGAGATGTAAACCGCTATATCCGAAACTGTCAGTGTCAGACAGATAAGGTCCCTAGGGACAAGACCCCCGGCCTTCTCCAATCGCTACCGGTTCCTGTTCGGCCATGACAGCACATCTCTATGGATTTTAAAGAGTTCCCGAAGGACAAAAGCGGATTCGATATGGCCTTTGTGGTAGTATATCGATTAAGCAAGCGACCAGTGTCGGTTCCCTGTCATAAAGAGATTGGAGTACGGGATATGGCGCGCCTCTTTATTGAACATATCTATCGACACTATGGGGCACCGGATTCTGTTGTCTCTGACCGGGGACCGCAGTTTATCTCTGAGTTTTGGCACGAATTCTGCCGAATCCTGGGGATAGAGCTACGGCTCAGCACAGCTCGACATCCGCAAACAGATGGTCAGACTGAGGCAATTAATCAGCACATTAGAACACGCTTGCGACCATTTATAAACCACTATCAGGACGATTGGGGGGAACTGCTGCTAATGTTAGATTATGCTGCCGCTATCCTGGTTCAAGAGTCAATACAGATGACCCCCTTCGAGGTAGTTCTGGGGTACCAGCCCCGGACCTCGTTTGATTGGAATTGACCTTCTGATGAAGCTCCGGTCCCAGCCCGAGTTCGCCTGGAACGAGAGGACGCGCTCAAACATGTTCAGATACTGCACAAAGGATGGGACTTTGCCCGCAAGCAGATATCAATATCTCAGGAGAAATAAGCGGTCCAAGCCAATAAATACTGCCGGGAACCAGATTTCGGAGTTAATGATAAGGTCTGGCTATCTATAGAGGGATTAAGCACAAGTCGACCCAGCAGGAAACTGGATCACCAGAGGCGTAGACCTTATAAGATTACAGCACAAAAAGGACACGCATTTAAGCTGGATCTGCCTCCGGAGATAAGAATCCATAATAATTTCGCACCGGATCGTCTCCGATTAGCTGCAGATGACCCATTGCCCAGCCAGCGACCCCCAGTGACGGAACCGGTAGAGATACACGGTAAAAATGAATGGGAAGTTGACGAGATCGTGGCAAGCTGACTCTACTACAAAAAGCTGCAGTATCAGGCCAAATGGAGTAACGCAGATGATGACCCGACCTGGTATCCGGCGAGCAACTTTATCGGCTGCCCACATTTGGTGCAGGAATATTATCGGCAGTATCCGGACAAGCCAGAGCCCCCGAGACGTTTAGGTGCCTGGTTGGAGGCATACAATGGGGAGGAAGAATTCGAGATTACGCGAGAGGATGAATTGCCGGTTTAACAACAGCGATCGAGGGCGATCGCGAGCCTAGAAGAGGGGATAATGTCACGGACTGTAACCTGCCTCCGAGGACCTTCCTCGCGATACCCTATAACCTAACTCCCCGATAGGGACTAGCGTCAGAGCTGTCACATATATCGCAGCCAGCTCCTGAATAGCTTCATAGCTTAGCTTAGTTTTCTCGTCAAATGCATACCCTACATTCTCACAATTCCCTATCGTCAGTGTAGCCGTTCGTCACATGAAACGTATACCTCTTTGATACCCTTATATCCGACTCCCTCAAGCAGCAAGCCATCGGGCGGATAAGCCGTGTCGGACAGACCCGAACAGTCAAGATTTACGATTATATTGTGTCGGACAGCTTCAATACTGGCATCTTTACCAAGAACCTTACTAAAGCTGTTCCCGACCTTGTAACCACCCTGAATTAGGATATGTTTACCGATACCCTAGACATGACTGGAAACAGTTCGGCACCAAGCTTTAATATCGGTATATGGGTTCTCAATCAGGATAATACTATCAGTAAGGTCTGCTATATCCCGATAGAATTCGTTCCCAAGGACCAATGCCTCTTCCCAGAGGACGTAATCAAAGCTTTAATTAGTACTATAAAGGCGAGTTCTCGCATACGTGAAATATCTGATATCGACGTCCAATATCTGGAGGGCGAGGAGACTAGGAAGGATAGTAAGGACCCTATAGATATAACAGAAAATATACCTAGGAATGTAGTAGAGGGTTCCGACCCTAAGAAAAGAAAGGCAGATAAGGTAAAACTATCCTAAAGAATATAACTCTCTTTGTACTCTTAATTTATACTCTATTTTATAGTTCAATTATACAGATATTTCGGCTTCTTTATTTTACTATTAACGGATTCCCTCAATATTTTCTTCAGGTAAGAGTTAGTAGTATAATAGATTCCACTATAAAGAGACGCTGAGGAAGCCTTCCTTAGAGGGTTTAGAGATACTACAGAATAATTCCTTTATAATAAAAAAGATCTTGAAACTCCCCTTTCTTGTTTTCTGTTTTTGTCTTTATCTTTGTTTTTTCTATTCCTTCTTTACACGCGCTCTGAATGTTGAACTTAGGGAAGGCATTAGTAAAGTATTAAAGTATATATTTTTACTAAAATATATAATTTTCCTTTCTATCCTTTTTCTATTTTCTCTCTTTTCTTTCTTTTTCTCTTTTCTTTCTCTCTATATGCCCTCTGATTGTTGAACTGGCGGAAAACGTTAGTAAAACATTAAAGTACCTTTATATTATTCCTTTTTTTTTCTTTTTCTTTTTTCTTTTTCTTTCTTTCTTTTCTCTTTTTCTCTCTCTTTATCTCTCTTTCTCTTTTTCTTTTCTTTTTTTCTCTCTCTCTCTCTTCTCTTTCCTCTCTTTTCTTCTTTTCTTCTCTCTCTCTCTATACGCCCTCTGATTGTTAATCTGGAGGAAGACGTTAGTGAAGCATCAAAACGCCTTTACCAGAGTAAGTAATCCTCCTCTTTTCCTCTATATACCCTTTGATAGTTGAACTTAAAGAAGACATTGGCGAAGTACTAAAACATCTTTATTAGAGTGCCTCTAGATCCTCTTCGTGCATAACCCTTCTACAACCATCATTCCAGTGATCTCACTCTGCTGTCCTACCCCAGAAGCCCCGGGGGGTCCTTGGTCCGGTGGGTTTGGGGTTGCCCCGGCCCGTATGGCGCTAGGGTTTCGGGGCGCCCGAAGGGTGCGTCTACCGTCGGGGTATGGTGCCTATGGACTTCCCGGGCCCGGTGCGCGCCGCCATTCGGCCTGCGGGCTCGCCGGCCATTTAATTTCCATCTCCTGTTCTCCGGATCTCGATCGGGCGTGATTCAGAGGCGGGATAGCCGGTCGAAATGGGTCGGTCAGTTGACCGGCCGGCGCGCCAAGAGCTGATTTTAGATGGGATCCGAGCTACTCTAGAAAAAGGATAGATCCGATCGACAATCTTCCCGCTTTTTGACGGGACACAATCTAACCTAGATCGGGATAGATCCGATTTTCCCGTTTTAGTGTCTTGTTTGCTCTTTTCCTTTCTCTCCCCTTTCCTTTTCCCTTTTTTTCCTTTTTCTCTTTCTCTTTCTGTTTCCTATCCCCTCTCCCCGAACGATTTAGGCCTAGGCCCGTTATCTCAGCATTTACTTCCGCTATTCGCCTTCTGTATCACTCGTTTCCGATCTGAACGATTATGGCCGACTATCTTTTCGAAAGGATCCCCCGATTAAGGGTAATGATCTGCCGCCAGTGCCGGTACGGGGTCTGGCCAGCTGAAATCGAAACCCATCTAAAGCAGCAGCATCGGCTCGATCACACAACCGCGCAGCCTATCGTTCAGGCGGTACAGGGGTGGACCAACCTGACTGCGGCCAATAGGAATGATCTAATCCCTCCGGTTCTGGACGAGCCGCTTCCTATCGTTCCCTGTTATTCGAAAGGGCTGCTGTGCCGGCGGGAGCCCCAGCCATGCCAGTTTATTGCATCAACAATCAAGTCCATGCGCAAGCACTGGCGGACGGTCTATCAATGGTCCCAGTACCCCGAGCGGGGCCGCGTCCCGCAGTCGCAGCGAGCTGCGCAGGAGACCGAACTGCAGCGGTCATACGAGCTCGTGTCATATCAGCAGCTGTTTCTATCGCGAGCCGGCTCGCACTACATCTATATCCGATTCCCGCACGGCCGCCAGTCGCCGCCGCCGCCCCCCGACCAGGCGCAGCAGGCAGTTGACGCGATCGTGCAGGCGTGGGAACAGGCGCAAACAGTACACGGCCAGGCCCCGATCGAGCCGACGGCGATCTACGACGCGAACCCGTGGCTGCGGGTCACGCGGTGGACCGAATACCTAACCGAGATCCCGCCGGCCGACTTGCTGCGTAGTGTCGAGACGCCCGATCCTGATACAGCAGACCCCATCGAGCAGGGAATCCAGATCCTGTTTTACACAATCGACCAGTTGGCGCGGAAGAGCCAGTGGACGGTCCAGCGGTACGGACAGGCAATCCGCATAAAGGCCGTACGCACGCAGGCGGGCGAGCTACCATACCAGCCGCTGATCGCGTATATGGACGAAAACAGCATCCAGAAACACGTGCAGCCGTGGCAGCAAATAGTCGGGTTCTTCGCGCGCATCCAGCAGCCGCACGACTGGGTGAGCCCCGTGTATCAGTTTACCGCACGACAGCAGCAAAAATGGGCGCGACTGTGGCAACTGGTCCAGTACCCGGAGCCGCAGCCGGAGCTGCAGGCGGTCGACAAGGCGCTGCAACCGTGGCTGCTAGAACGGCGCGAACAGGCCTGCTTAGAGTTCTGCGTTGAGCTGCTAAATCAGTGCCACTGCACGCACGAATACGAAAGCGCACTAGTGTGTGCCATGGCAGTCCTAGGTCGTGGGATCGATGGCTGGCGCGACCCGGAAAGCTACCCGCCGATCCTATCGCGGGTGATCAAGATCGCGCGGTTTTTCGTTATAGAAAAGGCGTTGTGGCTCGACCCCGCGGCCATGCAGATCGTTGAAATGTGGGAAAAGAAGCAAACAGATATCCCGTGGGCGTTACAGAGCGCAGACGACGAGCTCGAGGACTTAGATGAAGGATACGCTAGCGGGTCGACCGCGGGCAATCCCGTTTCCAGTAGCCCCATGAGCTTATCGAGCAGGAGGATCGACGGTCCTCGTACCCCGGCCGGCCGGCGGCCCGCAGTAATTCCATCGATCGATCGCTCGAGCGAGGCCCCGTCCAGCGAAGGTTTTGGTACTCCCGTTTATCCAGTACGGAGTAGTCCCATCAGTCTAAACCAGGATCGTAGCCGGTTGGCCGGCCGCACGTTCCAGGACCAGCTGGCGCGGATGGTAGGGCGGTTCATGGTGCGCGGCAGCCACGGCCCCATGCAGACCTTGCTGGACTGGCGGACCTACGGGCTCCGGGTCCATTATAACTGCAGTACCCCCGGTCATGTCACGTGGCAGGGAACCGACGAGCTGCTGTACCAGCAGCTCCGCTTTACCATGGGCGATTTCCGCGGCTTCGTCCACGGGCTGGTCGGGGTGACGCGGGGGCTGCTGGACCAGCTGCTGTTCTCTTCGGCCGACCAGTTGGCACCCGCGATCCCATGGGGCCGGCTATATGATAATCCTATCGAAGGGAAGGCCGGCTGGAGCTTTTTGCAGGATAGTCGGACCGTGTGGCCCGTTGAAGGCAAACGATGGTTGATCGACCGGGTGCGGGCCGAGCCGGCGCTGCAGGCGCAGTTTATTCGGACCCACCGCTGTTACCCCCCCAAGATCCGCGCGTATTTCCAGCAGGTTGTTAAATTCAAGGAGCAACTCGCCATACTGATCTATATCAGTGGCGGGCAGCCCGCTCGGGCCCCCGAGCTGCTGAGCATCCAGCACGTGAACACCGAGACGAACGTGCGGCGGAATATCTACATCGATGACGGGCTAGTTACGCTGGTCACGGCGTACCACAAGGGATTCCATGTCAGTAACGACGTAAAGATTATCCACCGGTACCTGCCGCGGGAGGTAGGCGAGCTGATTATATATTACCTGTGGCTGGTGCAGCCGTTTGTCGAACAGCTTGACACGTGGCTCGAAAAACAGTCCCCGGCGCCACGCGACCCCCTGTCCCAACACCAGCGTGCGCTATTGTGGGGGCCTGACCCAGGGACGCGCCGCATGTGGTCATCGGACCGGTTCCGCGACGTACTGAAACGGGAGACCGAGCGACGGCTTGGGCAGGCCATCCACGCAGCCGCATACCGGAATATCGCCATTGGGATCAGCCGGCGGTTCCTGCGCGCAGGCAGCCAGTTTCTCCAGAGCCAAAACGACCAGCGCGAGGGCGAGCGCGCTGCAACCGACCCCGACAATGAAGCCGCGATAGACGAGGCGCAGTGGCTCGGCCACATTGCTGACCTGCAGGCAGCCCATTCGTCGCACGTCGCCGGTATGATTTACGGCCGGGGACTGATGGAGCAGGCCGGCACTACCGCGCACCGGCAGGAGATATTCCGCTTATCCAGTACGGACTGGCACCGCTTTTTAGGGTTTGCATCGGCCCAGTTTGAGCCCCCGTCGGCACTGGGAAAACGTAAACGGGCGCCGTGGGAGGACGCAGCCGCGGAGCAACAGATCTGGCGGCGGCAACGGCTGCAGCAGGCAAACATGACGCAGACCGCACGGCAGATGATCCAGCGGACCGAGCTCGAGCTACGGGGGGTCCAGGCACCGGCGCTCCGGGCCATTCAGGACGGCGAGAGCCCCGTGATCGCAGTAATGCCTACCGGCGGCGAAAAAAGTATGCTATTCATGTTACCGGCTTATATCGAGCCCGGGGGTACAACCGTGGTCGTGGTCCCACTGATTGCGTTACGGCAGGACTTTCAGCGGCGGTGCCAGCAGCTGAACATCTCATGTGCGGTATGGGAGAGCCGACGGCCGCCGGATGAAGCGTCACTTGTGCTGGTTACGCCCGAATCCGCGATTACCCCGGATTTCCATTCGTTTTTGAACCGGCTGCGGATGGTCCGTCGGTTAGACCGAATCGTTATTGACGAGTGTCACGTTATCTTGCAGGGATCGGCTGACTTCCGGCCGGCAATGCAGCAGCTCGGCGAGCTAATTTACGCGCGTACTCAGCTCGTATTGCTGACTGCTACCTTACCCCCGACGGTAGAGCACACATTATTCGAGCAGATCGGTCACACACGGGAAGAGATCCGGCTATTCCGCGCGCGGACCACCCGATCGAATATCCGATATATGGTATGGCGGCCCGTGATCCCTCCTGAGCTAAGCCGCGGCCCCCACGCGTGGATCGAGAGCGATATCGTCCGAGCCGGGATTGCATGGCTGGTCCAGCAGCAGCAGGTTGATCAAGGGAAAACCGTGATATACGCCAATACCGTTGGCCAGGTCGCTACCATAGCCCGGCAGGTCGGGTGTGAGGCGTATACCAGCCAGGCCGTTGACCGGCCCGGGGTACTGAAACGGTTCATTAATGGCTGCAGTCCGATTATCGCAGCCACTAGCGCGCTAGGGATGGGGGTCGATATTCCGGATATCCGGTTGATTATCCATGTCGGCATGCCGCGAACGTTACTCGATTACGCGCAGGAGAGTGGCCGGGCAGGTCGAGACGGGCAGACCAGTATCGCTGTAATTATCCAGCCCGCCGAGTGGGATCAACCCGCGGCGTACCTGGCCGATACGCCTGCCCACGAGATTGAGCGGGTGCAGAAATATATTACAGCCCCGTGTCGACGGCAGGTTTTAGATATATATCTAGATGGGTACCAGCGGGAAAGATGTGAAGCAGACGAGACATTATGCGATCAGTACTGTCCCATCAATATAGAGCATGCTATACAGACCCGAGCAGAAAGCGAAAAAGCTAGTCAAGAAGCCGATCAGGGAGCGGTTAGGCAGGCGAGCCATAGAATTGGTACCGCAGCCGGCCGTCCAGCAGACTATTCAGCAGATCATTCGGCAAGCCATCCCGCAGGCCATCGGATCAGCCCGATCGATGATTCCACTGACCCCCCATCCCCCCGTCCATCCCGATCCCGCAGCGAATCGTTCACATCCCAGGTCAGCCAGCCCCATCGGCCATGGCCGCCCCCGCTGGAGATGCCCCCGTCCCCCCGGGAACCCCCCCAGTGGGCGCGGGCCGATATCCAGGCGCGGCAGCGAGCGATACGGGCACAGCTTACCGAAGAGGCGATTATCGAGGAATGCCCGCGGTGGCAGGATCACTGTTATATCTGTACGCTGCAGGGCCGGGACGGAGCCAGCCACGATCTGTACAGCTGCCGCGCTGCCGACAGCCAGGCGGCCAAGCAGTGGATGATCCAGGTGCGGCAGCAGATCCAGTACGCCCGATACAGCGCGTGTTTCCAATGCGGGATGCCCCAGACCGTGTGCCCGGGGTGGGAGAACCGCTCGCTGTGTACGTACCGCGGGATTTTGATTCCCATGGTAGCGAGCATGGTATTGGGTCCCCAGGGAGAGGTTATCCAGGGCTTATGGCAGCAACGATTGCAGCAGGCCGGGGTGAATCCCCAGGATGAAGCCGCCGTCATTACATTTTTGGGGCAGACGGGGCAGCCCCGGCACAGCCAGTTATTTGATATATATTGCTGGCTGCGGGAGATATATCGGGAGATCGAGGATCGGTAGCAGGGTCGATTGTTATTCCCGTATATAGCCCGTTGATCCAAATCGTTCGAGATACATATATATTTTGCCATAATCCATTTCCCCACCCGATAGCGATCGGCAGATAGACAGGCAGGCCAGTGAATAGGCCAGTTGGCTGGTAAGTAGGCGGAATCATAGAGCCGGCCATAGAAGAAGCAGGCCCCGAACAAGGCCACCAAGCAGAGAAACAAGCTATACAGAAAGCCATCAACGGAGCAGGTCCCGGATAACGCCCCAAGACAGGCCCGTTAGTAGATAAGTAGGTAGACCGGGAGACAGACCATAAAAGATGGGTCAGTAGATAGACAAATAGACAAGTAAATAAACAGGCAGATAAGCAGATCGGCCAGTAAAAGCAGACAGGCCAGTTAACAGATAGATAAGTAAACAGACCCAGAAATAGGCCCGTTAACAGATAGACAGACGAATTATAAAACAGGCCGCCAAGTAATAGGTAGGCCAATAAACGGGACGGTAAGCAGACAGCCATAAAGCTAACCGATTCACAGATAGGTAGGCAGACCGGAAAGCAGTCCATAAAACAGATCCGTTAGCAGGTAAACAGATACACAGATAGATCGGCAGGCAGATAAGCAAGATAGTTAGCAGGCCGGTTAGCAGGCCGGTTAACAGGCGGGTAAGGTAGGCAAACGGACAGGTAGGCAGGCGGACAGGTAGGCAGATAGATAGGTATGCAGGCCCGGAAGCAGGCCGGTTGGCAGGTAAGCAGGCGAATCGTGAAATAGGCCAGCAAGCAAGTAGGTAGGTAGGATTAAATGATATAATAGATAATTGAAAAAGATAAGAACAATAAAATAAATAAGATTAATAAACAGTGGATAAGAGTAGTAAAATGGATAAAAAGAATATATCAAGAAGGTTAGTAAATAATAAATAGAAATAGTAAAATAAGTAAATGGTTAATAGATAAGCATTAGAAAACAATTACAGAAAAAGAATCAATTGATAATTTAAATAGATGAAATTTAGAATTAAAAAAATAAGATGAGAAAAGGAAAATTAATATAGAAAGAAAACCGATAATATTACTCAATAGTTAAAAGGGTAGATTTAGTAGGTTTAAAAAGGAGAAAATAATAAAGAAAAGTATTAAAAAGATGAATATAATAGATAGAATTTGTAGAATAGGAGAATTGTAGGATACGTAAGATTGTAGGATAAATAGGATTAGTTAATAGATAGGATTAGTCAATAGATAGGATTGTAGGATACGTAGGAATGTAGGATATGTAGGATTGTAAGATACGTAAGATTGTAGGATAGATAGGATTAGTTAATAGATAGGATTGTAGGATACGTAGAAGAGTAGGATAGGTAAGATTAGTAAATAGATAGAATCAGTAAAATAGGTAAGATTTATAGGATAGAGAAAGTTAGGGAACGAAGGAGAAATTTGGCAAAAGCATAGCAGATAATTATATATATAGAAAATTGGTAATAAATTACATTAGGGTTATATAAAAGGTATTTATAAGCGAAAGATATTATAGGACGATTCGATTAGTATTTTACAGAATGATTTTCAAAGGTATATTGAAAGCGATAGAAGAGGAGCAAAATAGTATATTTCAATAATCGATTTAAATGGAAATGATTGAGATAGAGTATTAGAGCAAGATTAAAAGATTGCCGGAGATAAACAAGAAGATTGATAGATATAAAAGATGATTTTGAAGAGATTTGATTGATATAAATAATGCAGTCAATTTAGGACCGGTAAAATATTATTAAAGTTAGATAATGGGTAATAATAGCTAATTTAGAATAGATATGATAGTTTATTAAAAGGTGGTAGAACAGTAGAAATATAGTAAAACAGCAAGAATAGTAACTGGATTATCAAGAAATATACATTAGGGTTAGTATATTCCGGGGATATATATTGGATTTTATGATTGACAGTTCAGATGTAGGTTTTAACAATAGAAATCAATTTACATTAGAGAGATATAGGCATTTACATTAGGGGTTACATAACATTTAGAAAAGATAGATATAAGGGTATAAAAATCAAAAAAAGTAAATATATATTAAAGATCAGGTTAGCCGAATTATAATGACCGGCTGGTATCAAGAATATAATACAGATTAATAGCAATAAATCGGCAGAAGATTGTATTACAAAACCAAATATAAAATAAGTTGTTAGTTGTAGAGAAAAGAGAAATTTGAATAGAAATATAGCAGATAACAATATATATAAAGAATTGTCAATAAATTACATTCAGGTTTTATAAAATGGATTTATGAACGAGAGATGATATAGGACAGTTCAATTCGAATTTACAGAAAAAGATTTGCAGGAATAATAGCATTAAATGATAAAAATAATTTTAGTTTAAATAGAGAAAAAAGAGAAATTACAAGAACATTAAATAATGCGGAATGGATATAATGAATATAACAGTTAGTAACACGAGTATCGAGAGATATATAACTGTAATATAAATAATTTGAGTTAGCAGTTCAAACAAGAAATAAAGAGAATTAAACAAGATTTAGTCGATACAGAAATGAATATCAGATAAAACATTATTGACAGATCAAAATATATATCAATTTACATAAAAGAATAGATTTTAGGGGTAATGTATCAAGAACAAAGTTTCCAGTTATTTTATTGGCAGAGACAGATTTAGATCGAATTTAAAAGACCGAGACTGTAATAAATAGAAGAGTATCATTCAGGGATTATAGTTATAACAATAGATATTAAAAATAGTACATTTAGGAATTGATATAGCAGATTAGACAATCGTTTTTACATTAAGATTAATGATATTATAGGATAGAAGGCCCAGTGACAAAAAGAATAGAATTATATATATAGTATACGTGGAAAGTGATTGACATGCGATAAAGTAAAATAATTAAACAGTTATAAAGATCAATATATTCCAGTAATATATATTGGATTGTATAATTGGCGGCCCAGATAGAGGTATTTAATATAAAAATAGAATGCAGTTAATTCAAGCGGATAAAATATCATTAGAGTTAGATATTAGATAATAATGGGTAATTTGGGAGGCATATAATAGTTTATTATAAAATAGCATAAAAGTAGCAAAAGAATAGAAAAAAATAAGAGAAAGATAACAGAGAATTAGCAGAAAATTAATAAATAATTGCGGAAATTATAGAATATATTAACAATAATTTAAAATGAATAGACAGGAGATCAAAAGGTATAATATATATACGTTCAAAAATTGATATAAATAATTGAATGATTGTTTTCATTGTTTTTACATGAGTTAGAGTATAGAGAAATATACATTAGAATTAATAATATTATAGAGTAAGAGGTCAAGTGTCGAAAAGAATAAGATTATTTATAGTATAAGTATAGGGTTACATTAGAATGTAATGTAAAAAAATTATTAAACAGTCAAAAAAGATAATATATATATTTAATATAATTAGCAGTTTAGATACAGATTTTAACGGTAGATATAATTTACAGTAAAAATATACCGTTATAAAGGTATACATTAGAGGATAGATTTATTTTTGGACCAAATAGATATAAGGGTATCAGAATAGAAGAATGTAAATATATATTGATAATGCAGTTAGCAGAATTATAATAACAGAAAAGGTAATATCAAGTATATAATGTAAATTGATAGTAACGAATTGGAAGCAAATAGAGATTACAAAATTAATTATAAAATCGCATTATCAGCAGTGAACCAAAGAGAAATTTAATTAAAAGTATAGTAGATAATTAGATATATAAAAAATTGTCAATAAGATACATTAGAGTTATATAAAATGGATTTATAAAGAAAAGATGATATAGAAGGGTTCGATTCCGATTTACAAAGAATGATTTTGCAGGAATGGATTAAAAACGATACAAAACGAGCAGAATGATATATTTCGACAATAGATTTAAGTGAGAATGATCGGGATAGATTATTAAGACAAGATTGAAAGATCGATAGGCCGATAGGCAGGCAAGCCAGTTCGGAAGTAGAACAGTAGATAGGTAGGCAGATAGGCGGAATGATAAAGCCGGCCATAGAAGAAACAGGCCCCGAACAAGGTTACAAAGCAGAGCCGTTCATAGGCCCGTCAGCAGGTAGGGAGGCAGGTAAGCAGGCCAGCAGACCGGTTGGCGGATAGATAGGTAGACCGGCCCGGGAGTAAGCCAGTTCGCAGGTAGATAGGCGGATCGCGTAGCAGACCACCAGGTAAGCGGCAGACCGGGAGACAGACCACACAACAGATTAGTTAGTAGATCGGCGGGCAGGGAGATCAGTACACAGGTCAGTACACAGGTCAATATACAGATCAATATGTAGATTACCAAGTAGACCCCCAAGCAGGCCCGTTAGCAGATAGACAGGTAGACCGGGAGACAGACCACAAAACCGATTAGTTAGTAGATAGGCAAATAGGGAGATAAATAAACAGGCAGATAGGCAGACAGGCCAGTTAACAGGCAGATCGACAGGCCGATAGGCAGGCAAGCCAGTTCGAAAGCAGATCAGTAGATAGGTAGGTGGGTAAGTAGGCCCAGGAGCAGGCCATAGAAGAAACAGGCCCCGAACAAGGCCACAAAGCAGAGCCGTTCATAGGCCCATCAGCAGGTAGGCAGATAGGTAGGCAAGGCCATAAAACAGATCAATGAGCAGATAGGCAGCCAGGCGGATCAGGAAACAGGTCAGTACACAGGTCATTATATAGATTACCGAGTGAACCACCAAGCAGGCCATCCAACAGGCAATAACAAGGCGCACAAGGCAGGCCACGAAGCAAGGAGGCAAAATATAAAGAAAGCCAGCCATAAAGGAAACAGGCCCCGAATAACGCCACAAAGCAGGTGCGTTAGCAGATAAAAGGTAGATCGAGAAATAGACCATAGAACAGAGCAGTTAGCAGATAGACAGATAGGCCGACAGATCGGCGGAATGATAAAGGAGGCCATAGAAGAAACAGGCCCCAACAAG